AACTCAGCTCTCTTACTTCTTTGGAGTGGCGTAGCAGCTAGACACAGAAATGATGTTACAGCTAAACGACTGTCACTGTCACTGTTCCATTACGGTGAAACTGGACCGTAACTTGGTGTGACAGTTTGCCTCCGCGACCCACTTACCTATACTGCTGAGTTTCCGTGCGACATTCGCAGCCTCATGCCGGGTTTGGCAGTGGTTCGAAGTCTGAACAACACAGTCTTCTGGCCCTCCAGGTTGGGGATTAGAACATACATGATGACTTGTTCTATACAAATGGTAATGTACCTGCATTTCCCAACAAACACCGATGACGTGTGGTCAGGCTTTTGAGCTGGCACCATGACCGTCCTACTATCTAGGTGTGGTCGCCCTGGCAGTATTCTAGCCCACGTACAACCATGATACTTACAAGTAACAATACTCATGCCACATCGGCCGTCGCATTGTATTACAGCCGGGTCTGGTTGGGGGTGGAAGCCATTCCGTAGAACTGATATTGCATTTGCATTTCCCGCCAAATAACGCTGCCTTGCGGTTAGGATTTTGAGTCAGAGACTTTGGTTGAGGACCCCAATCGTCCTCCTGTTTAGGTGTGGTCGCCCTGGCAGTATTCTAGCCCACGTACAACCATGATACTTACAAGTAACAATACTCATGCCACATCGGCCGTCGCATTGTATTATCAGCCGGGTCACCTTACTCCCTGCATACAACAGGGCGGCTAAGCAAAGGTTACTGCTGACGCTTCCCTTTTACTCTCACATACTATTTCTTCCTTCTCCCAACCCGTTAACAGCTCTCCTTGCAAGCACATCACGTGTGACTGATGCCTCTGTTCGTTCTGCATCAGTTTTGGGAGAATTATCTGCGCGTCTTCCTGCACTGACGTCCTCAGTCCACTCGAAATCGAACTTCAAGCTTTGACACCTAGTCTAGTTGTCTGCCTTTAATGTTTGCACTATTAATCAAGCATGGCTCTCACACTGGACTATCTTGACGTCTGTATGCTGTGTATCAGAAGCACGATTTAAAGATGCAAGCACAGCGGTTGAGCCAACAGCACCAGCACGGGACTTGTGGCATCATTTCTTCGTCGCGTTGTGGGGCTCGTGAAACACCGACTCGAGATTAGCTGGTAGGGGTAGCGCTGAACAAACCACACCGTCAGGTGCTAGAACAATCCCACCCCTATAATGACCCACAATTTTAATTCCTGTATTTCCAAGGCGCATTTGACTCAGTTTACGAGTATGTTCTTGAAACTTGCCTATCAAGGAGTGCTCCGGGATTTCATGAGCATCATAAGTTCTTTGTACTCTCAGACTTCCGGACGTGTGAGGATAGACAGAGCTTTCCTAAGGCTTTCGTACACAAAGTGGTGTCCGTCAAGGATGCCCTCTCCCCATCCCTATTTACTTTCTTGATCGACGAGTTGAGACGAATACCGGAAGGCCCTCAAAGCTCTGGTGTCAGATGGCTGCTGAGGTGGACGTTGTCCATCTGAAATATACAAGTGACATAGTTCCCGTCTTCAAAAAGGAGAGGGTGCACGATGGACTTACCAAAGTTCCTTGACATGCGGTTGTAGCTCCTGGGCATATAATCACTGAACATGCCAATTGCAATCCAAGGAGAGGTAGCCGGAGTTGTGGAGCGCTTTATGTATCCAGGAGTTTGTATTGGTTCTGACGGTAGTATGACATGTGGTTAGTGCACAGATCAGATTGCGTTTGCTGATATGAGACACCTGTGGCGTGAAAGTGGTATATCCTTGCATACCAAGAGATGTAGCTGTTTTGGTGTATGGGCGTGTGACTTCTCCTGTTCGGTCAGCGCCACAGAGAAGTCTTCAGGATTTCGACAACCGTTGCTTCAGAACCATATTTTGCTGCAGGTTGGCGTCGACGAATATATAACGAGGCCATTAGAAAGCGAGTGTTCGGTTGTGGAACGGGACTCCAATCAAATAATGTGTCCAGTACCAGAAGCTGTGTTGGTTAGGCCGTGTATGCCGAGGTGGCTCACCGGTTAGAGCGCGATTGTACTGACCGGAAGGTACGTGGTTCGAACCCGACCTCTGTCTTTCGATTTCTCCTGTCTAGGGTTGGGCAACCTGGCAGTGTGCGGTAGTATGACATATGTGGTTAGTGCACAGATCAGATTGCGTTTGCTAATTTAACACACTTGTGGCGTAAAAGTGGTATATCCTTGCATACCAAGAGATGTAGCTGTTTTGGTGTATGGGCGTGTGACTTCTCCTGTTCGGTCAGCGCCACAGAGAAGTCTTCAGGATTTCGACAACCGTTGCTTCAGAACCATATTTTGCTGCAGGTTGGCGTCGACGAATATATAACGAGGCCATTAGAAAGCGAGTGTTCGGTTGTGGAACGGGACTCCAATCAAATAATGTGTCCAGTACCAGAAGCTGTGTTGGTTAGGCCGTGTATGCCGAGGTGGCTCACCGGTTAGAGCGCGATTGTACTGACCGGAAGGTACGTGGTTCGAACCCGACCTCTGTCTTTCGATTTCTCCTGTCTAGGGTTGGGCAACCTGGCAGTGTCCAAGCCATCGTGCTCCCTTCGGGTGGCATGGCAGCTAGAGACCGAAAGGGTGTTATATATGGACGCCTAGGCCGTGTGTTGCGCATGTCGAACCATCTTTTAATAATATTAGTGATCGTTCAGTGGTAACACCCTCTCGGCCGTCACGAAGGGACTGGACCTTACCGTGGTGTGACGGTTTGCGCACTTCAGCGACCGAGTGAGCTATACTGCGGAGTTTCCCTGCGACAATCAGTCTCCCATACCAGGTTAGTCAATGGCTAGAGGTCTGAAGGACAGAGTCTCCTGGTTGGGGGTGGAAGCCATTCCGTAGAACTGATATTGCATTTGCATTTCCCGCCAAATAACGCTGCCTTGCGGTTAGGATTTTGAGTCAGAGACTTTGGTTGAGGACCCCAATCGTCCTCCTGTTTAGGTGTGGACGCCCTGGCAGTATCCCAGCCCTCGTACAATTGTGACATACACAACTAACAATACTCTCATGCCACATCGGCCGTCGCGTGGTGCCATCAGCCGAGTCGCCTTACTTGCTGCATGCAGCTGGGCGGGTAAGTGTAAACATGTTACTGCTGACGCCTCCCTTCTTACACTTTCACGTTTTTCTTCTTGGGCCCTCCCCCGTCCAAAGGCCCAGCACTTAGGACTGGTCACTCCATTCGTCTTGCATCAGCTTTGCGTGCGTCATCTGCTCGTCTCATAGCACCGACATCTTCATGTATCCCCAAGTCAATCTTCAAGCATCGACACGCAGTCTCTCTGGCCGTTTTCAATGTCCGCACTCTGAAGCAAGCAGGAAAACAAGCTGCTCTTGCTGTCACACTGAACTTGCTCGGTATTGATGTGTGTTGTGTCTCAGAAACAATAATTAAAGATGCAAGCACAATGATTGAGCAAACCGCCCCATCATTCTCCACTCGCTTCCGGCTACGCATCTCTGGTGTTCCAGAGGCTGCTGTGGCAGGATGTGCAGGGGTGGTGTCGTCCTGAGTCAACGGGTAAAGTATTCTTGCTTGACTGGATACCTGTTGGTAGTCGCCTCTGTGCGATTCTGGCAACGTCTGTGAAGGACTGTCACAAGCAGGAAGTTGATAGATGTCTCTTTGTTGTGTCTGCCTACGCTTTTTGGGGACCTTTTCCCCACCATTTGGCTGAAATGTCTTGACTCCGTGGTGGTTAGTTTTGAGGTTTTGTCTGAGAGCTTCTCGGTGTCGACGACTCAGCTGGTACACAGTGCATAGGGAGTGAGGCCTAGATGCCTGACTCGCGTTGCTGTTACGCATAGCAGATGTCTTCAGAGCCACACGCGGCCCATTAAGCGGCTTATTTGCTTCTTGAAAGTAGGCGATGCGCATTCAGTCGTTTGGTGGTCGGGTGTGGAGACCTTTTCTAACACGTCATTTCCCTGGAGAAGGCAACATCACATATAGTATGGGAATACTGAACGCGTGAGGAGAGCCATCCTATTGCTCTCAAACTCCCGCCGCGGACAATACCAATTTCCCTCGTATCACAATTTTTCGCAGAGTGGGGGCTCGCTGTTCATCGTCGGACTTCTCACCGTTGGCCATGACTGAACTTTAAGGAACTGAACTACAGCCGGTGTAACTCTGAAGCTCTTTGTAGCATTGAAGGTGGACTGCCTTAGGTCGGAAAGTACAGATAGACTGAATCCTACACTTGTGCACACGATACTCAGCCAACTCCACGCGTTACTCCGAAACAATATTCAGTTATGTTAAAAAGTGTAGCCACCGTTCATTTAGCCTAGTCCCTCATGATGGTAATGAATATTCAACTGTAGTTGTGTCAGTTATGCATCAGTACGTAACACTGTACTGTTCTCCATGATGTAGATGTTGGCCGGTCTGACGTCTGTTTGTCAGTTAGAATGCCAATCATATTGCTTGGCTACGCACCAGATGCAGGCAACTGAAAGGTGGATGCTGTGACCTGACATGAATTCCTTCAACCAGTAAATGCAGTTGAGTTGACAACTGCCGACTCCTTATAGGTGGACCCCGAAGCCAATGGTTCATGTCACATACGGTCATTAGGTTGCTGGCGCTCCAGTTTTGGAGCTGATACCTTCAGTACATACTTTCCCGATTTCTCACAAGGGTGATTCAGTATCGACTAACCAACTAGGCTGTCAACTTCAATGTTTGGCTCTTTCTTCCCTCTTCTACTCTTTGAACGAAACTTTGTTAACTGGAAGTGACGTATCCTTGGTGTATGGTTTATAGTCGGATAACCGAATGATTGCAACTTTCTTGAGTATTCTCCACTGAACTCACCAAACCAACAAATCTTTTTTTGATTGTCTTTTGTAGGTGTCACATGGTTTACTGATCACTAACGTACCGCCGTTTTCTCAGCTTCAGATACCGTGTCAGGGAATTTCGGTCTCCTACACCTCAGAAATCCTTTAATACGATGGAAGTACGTTTATGGCAAACCTGGTTCACTCAACATTTTCAGCTTGTCCAACGGCACTCCGTCCATACACTGGTTTTTCGATCCCTAAAACGCACCCATGATATGTTTGAATCAGATCAAGCTCGACTACCGGAAGTGGACCCTCTAAGGTTTGTTTGCCTCTGGCTTAATGTTTCCCACAGTGAAGCGCTGAAAACTGCTGTGAAGGCGCGAGACCAATACGGCCCAGTGCTCAAACAGGCCAGTACTAATCCTCTAAAGCAAACTAAGTCAGGTTGGAATTATATTCTTTGTTTAATTATGGGATCATGTTTGCAGCTGCTTTATCTTCTGCTGCCCCTGGAGCAATAGTCCCCGTGGAGAAAAACAAACCCAAGTATTTTTACCCCCTTTCTAGCTTATTTCTTCTAACAGGCCAATGCTTGACCAAAATACCTCTCTAGTCCAAGTAGGAGGTGAAAAGTTATTACTACCGAAGAAAGCACCAACAATGCCAAAACCTACATGGCATCCGCCGTGGAAATTGTGTAGGGTGCGTTTGTGTATCTTTCCTCTATTTTGAATGATGTTACCCTCGCTTCTAGGTTGTTAGTGGTCACACTGGCTGGGTTCGATGTGTTGCCTTCGATCCAACAAATGAATTTTTTGTCACTGGTGCTGGAGATAGAATGATCAAGGTACACGAGTCCTCTGTGGTCGCCTAATCTACTCCTTGGTTTCCAGGTTTGGGATTTTGCAAGTGGAACTTTGAAACTTACTCTGACTGGTCACATCAGTGTTGTTCGTGGAGTAGTAATAAGTGCACGTCACCCCTATTTGTTCTCCTGTGGGGAGGATAAAACAGTGCGTTGCTGGGACTTGGAGCAAAACAAGGTGGGTGGTCACCTTCCGTGTTACCTATATTGCATCGTGCGGATAGGTTATTCGACATTATCATGGACATATGTCCGCAGTTTACGGAATCGATCTCCATCCCACGATCGACGTGCTTGTAACTTGTGGACGCGATGCAACGGCTCGCGTTTGGGATATGCGGACAAAGGTTTGTTGTATTCTGACCATCATATACGCTTCCATTCTAAGGTTAACGTTCACACGCTTACTGGACACTCCAACACAGTTGCTGCTGTTCGTTGTCAAGAATCTGACCCACAGGTGATCACGGGCTCGCACGATGCCACTGTTCGCCTATGGGATTTAGCTGCGGGACGCACCATCACCTGTCTGACGAATCATAAGAAAAGCGTGCGATCCATTTGCATTCACCCAACACAGTGAGTTCGGATTGTTTTGTGAGTAGCCTGTTGTTTCTGTAACCTTATTTGTGGAGTATGTGCACAGAAAAGCAAGACTAAGACAGACTGCCAATCTTGGGTATCGAATCTGGATGTTAAGCCAAGAGAGCATTTATTAGACCACCTAGGTGTTAGCCTAATTTTGTAGCGTATACCTTTCCTACCTCATATGTTGTTATCCCACATAGCCTGTACTAAAGATCCTATACGTTGCTTTCTGATAGCGGTTTCCACAGAAACTGCATGAAACAGTTTGAGAAAGACAATGAAGAGACGAACACGTGAAGAACCCAGTAGATGAAAGTCAATGCGTTATGTACATCCTCATTATGACCCATTTCATGTGTTTAAATTTTCAAGCCCCCTTTTCGAAGCTCTTTGACGCGGTCATAGGCCCCTCACCATACTATTCCAAGAATAACCCTTCAGTAGCAAGAACTGTTGGTAAATCCCCAATTCATTAACATTTGTTGTTTGTTCGAACTGTCGTTGTGTGACCCAACCACCCATAGGTTATCGTTCACGTCGTGCACAAACTCAAAAGTCGGCCGGTGTCTTACGATTCTACTTCCTTCTGTCACTTCCTTTTTCCCTCAACAGAAACTGTTTCATTTCGGGTTCTCCGGACAATATCAAACAATGGAAACTGCCAGAGGGCGTATTTCTGCAGAACATGTCCGGTCACAATGCCATTATCAACGCACTGGCCATCAACCAAGATAACGTGGTCGTTAGTGGAGGTAAGCTGTTAGCAGTTCACCTTTCCAATAATCTAGACCATGCAATCTGTGTTGGGCCACCCAATTCAATCCTCTTCCTGTCTCAGACCACGAACGAAGACTGCAAATTATCAACGTTTGTTTGGGAGACTCATAATCAGCGCTGTTGGTGTTCGGCTTTTACCCCATCAGGGAAACACATGGATGGCTCAATCAAAAACGATTGATGCCTTAACCGGTAACAGATTGGCTATTCGCTCCGTATTCAAAAAACTATCGGGTCGAATCCTACTCCCGATGTTTTTATCCTGCGTACATGGATTCTCTGAGTTTAAAACATGGGTTTCAAATCTCATGGAGTGCGCCGTAAATAGGTTGTTGGAATCCACCTCCAGGAAAAGACAAACAAAGTAGGTTTTATTACATCTCCCGGGGAGTACATACGCAATGTTGAGCGTAAATGCTGAACCTCGATAAATCAGACCATATTTCGCTTCAGAGACACTAATATTCCAAGCCTTTATCCTTGGAGCATCGTGCGCATGTGTAGTACTGCCTTCTCGTTGTATGAACGCTCCGGTAGTCAGTCTTTGGCGCTCAGCGGACGATAATGGTTGGATTGGTTTAGGCCCGTCCATGCTTATCGCTCTACACTGATGAGTAAATGTGTAATGAAATGATTCCAATCGTTGGCTAAAATTGGTCGATCAACGCTTATTTTGACGACTTAGATTGACTAGAATAGTAAAAGTATACATCCAGCAGGAGGCTTGTGGTTTACTCCGTATTACTGATTTAATTGCATTACAAATCGGTAGACTAGGGAAATTGCACGAGCTCGTTGTTCTTCAATCCTCTCAGCAGCACGCGATTCGAAGAATACATCCCTTCTTAGACACTGAAATCCCAAATTGATCGTAGATTGCGAACGAGTTTGTTCAAGCACTGAACCCGCATGATAGTTCGTTAAGTACCTGTTGGTAGTCAATGAGCCGCCTATCCACTTCATTTAATTCGCCTCAATCGAGTGTCAACTGACCGGTGACACAGCTTGAGACTGGAAGGAGATAAAAGGATAGCAAACCCATGATCTGGAAATAAACATTAAAGTTGATGCAGGATCGAAGTTTCGTCATCGTACATCCGACCCTTTAGTGGTTGAAGATGGCCATGGTTCATTGAGCCGACATCTGTTTTCCACACATTGATGATATGCTCATCATCAGCAACATCAGTGTTGGCACTGATGCTTCACTGCCGTACAACCATAAGGTTCGTCACAGTACTTGCGTCCTCGTCCTTGTTTTCTGACAGACAACATACATCAATACAGAGGGGATCCAGCGTAGGCGCAAGAGCCACCTGTTGATCCAGTCTATTCGTGACGGTGATGATATGCTATGAAAATCCTTTCCGCTATTGGGCACTTACAACATGTTGCACGACACAACTTGCTTTTGCATAGGACAGAAGTCGAAATTCGTCACCGCAAGTGCTTGTGAATGGTACCTAGATAGCATCCTAGGACTACTGTGTGCGCAGAGATTAAACTGTCACCGGGCAGAAATATAATGGAGAAATCTTCCTTTCATTTGTCCTCTACCCGTGCAGTGGCTAATTACGAGTACGAGCATGCATACTTTTTTGGGGCTAAACTAAACCACGACTGAGTAGCCAATCGGTTGCCTTAGTTTCATTTGCATGATTCGAGTAATGTATTGGTGTCCAGCTTGTTTGTTATTTTTTGGATCAACCAGAATAACCATTGTTTCGAATATTATCATCCGGCATCATGATCATCGTCACAGATGGTTTTACCGCAAGGTCTTTTGAAAAAGGGATAGTTTATGGGTGAGGGGCCGGATACTTGTCCATCACAATCATTCTGTTACGCTTACACCTCCAAACGCTCAATCAGACAATCGGTATATCATCGTCATTGAAATCCGTTAGCCCCCGTGCATCCTGTCAAGTGCGGGAACAGGGTCACGAGATCCCTATCCTGGCATGATAACCGCCGCGGCTACCTTTTTATGATCAACTCCATACCCCTCGTTATCCAAATCTTTAGACAACGAAGCACTGAATTTTGTCCTAAACTTGTATCCGGTCTTTTGTGTGCATTTTACGCGGTTATTTGACGTTCGCATGAGAGTAAATCAATGTATAGCAATGTCGTTCCATACTCATGAGCTAGGAACTTCGGATATGTGTGGATGAAGCGTGATTCGGACGTACGGTATACTTCGCTCCAATAGCGCTTAGATACCGTGCATCTCACCGAAACGACCGTGTTGGCATAATAACATATCATTTAGCTCTGCGCTCCCTTGACTTTTCACATTTATACTGATGTACACTCGCTTAAGTCCAGTTCCTGTTCAACCGTCATTAGTATCTCGATCAGCACACGTAAACTAGGCGATAGCAGTTAGCTTCATTGTTACACAGTCCCTTCGAACGGATCTGTCGGTTGTTACTCTTCATGGCTGGGGTTATGACAGGCGAATCTGAGATAGATCTGTGTTGTCAGATTCTCAGCTGAATTAATACATTTATTGCCCAAACTTTCCTCAAGGTGATAACGGTAGCATGCACTTCTGGGACTGGAGATCGGGATACAATTTCCAGCGTCTACAAACTCAAGTCCAGCCTGGAAGTATCGACTCCGAAGCTGGTATTTTCGCACTGGCATTCGATCGGAGTGGATCGCGCCTGGTTTCGTGTGAGGCAGACAAAACTATCAAGATATTCAAGGAGGACGAAACAGCTGTAAGTTTGTTTTTAGTTTGTCCGTATGATTTTAGTGACGCCTAGACATGATAAGCGCCATTCACGTCACCAGTTGCTTGTCAGCTAGCACCGTTCACCTGCAACTGATTGTTGATAGATCGAATTGTTTTAAGGGTTGTGTTTCATCGTGCATACGTTATTCTTTCTTCCTTTCTACCTTATCAATTTTTTACAGACTGAGGAGACACATCCACTCTACTGGCGACCCGGCCTGCTCAAACGAGCGAAATACTAAAACCTGCCGTCACGTCTCTGTAAATTTGTTCCTACTTTAAAAAAAATTGACCATTGTGTTGTTTTTGCCATTCCTACTTCCCGTGGCTACTGAAGCAAGTCTCGAGAACAGCCTGTCTAGAGTAGTCTGTCTTAACTCGGGCCTCGAATTCTGACATACACCCTGCAAGTTTTGTTCCGTGAGTAACAAGCGACAGGTCGCATCTTAAAAGCCCTGAGGGAGATTTGCCCCAGTCATTGGATGGGCATTGAATACCATGCAGTTGAACAAGATACGTCAGGAACAGATTCACACAACCTAACCTAGCGTCCACTATGTCCTACGGTGACGGTCACATGCCATTCGCGAGACGCTGAATGAATGAATTCAACACATCCTCACCACTTGCAAATTACGAGTGCAATCAAATTCTTTCGTTTGGAGCGTCCTCTCCAAAACTACCGGCCTAGTTCTGTAAACGGGCGTTTAGAATCAACGAAATCTAATCTGTTACCCATTTATATATTAGTCAACTGGCAAACATCGCCGACGTAGTACAGCCGGTCGTGACAACATCAACGGCGGGCGATCAAAAACGTAGCTGTTCTTGGCTCATTAGGACACTGCAATAGGAATGATAGGTGTGAGGTATGATCATCTAGCATTGATGGACCGAAGTTGAGGTGATGTCACCAGTGCGTTGTGAAAAGGAGCGGAGCGGCGCAATGAGCAGTGGCGTGCACGAGTTCATGTATCTGATTCTGAAAGGTGACCGGTTGTGATTGGTTGCCCATATAAGTAGTCTTATTAGTCGCGTCGTCCGCCCAAGTCCTGTCTGGCTGACGTCCAAGTGACCTATCCGCCTCGTATTTCAGTTGGTACGATACTCGGGATATCGCAGTGTTTTACCATACTAACTATCGACGAGTTCGTTGAATATTTTGGCGTATTTCTGGTGACTATGGGGAGCGGCTTATATCAGCCAAGTTAATGGGTGGCAGCATGCGGTTACCAGACTCGAATTAAGGTACAAAGCTCAAACAGACTTAAATCCACTTAATCTTTCAAACTCCGATGCAATTGTCCTAGAACTTCCTAAATAACACAGATCAATAAGACGGGTGAACGACGCTTAAGATGAGCATTCGACTAAAGCGCCGTAAACCGGAATAGCAAGGTCCAAAAACTTTACCTAGCTTGGTGATTTTCACCTAAACCACTCGTCCTAAGAGCTAGTGACCCACGCTGAGCAACAAGAACTTCTGACGAACGTTCAGCACCGATTAAGTCGACCAGTTGAGAGAAGTCTTTTGGTTGGTTCTCCGTCTCCCTTAAAACTCGGTAAACCTGGTGCTTCTTCAATCAATCGGATGATGCTGTTATCTCAAAAGTGAAACTTTGCCAAGCGATAAATCCTTGTGAAATGACTTCTGAATAGGTCCAATTAACTGGATCATCGCGACCTTGTGCTCGTTGAATAGCTTCCGGTACATCCAGTGTGCTTGTTGGGTTCTGCAAAGTGATTAATAAAGTTTTGTTGCCTTGTCTGGTTTCGCTTTTATGTTTAAATTAGTCTTCCCAAAGTTGTTGCCACAGAAACTCCTCGATTGGGAATAAAGTGATTAATAAAGTTTTGTTGCCTTGTCTGGTTTCGCTTTTATGTTTAAATTAGTCTTCCCAAAGTTGTTGCCACAGAAACTCCTCGTATTGGGAATATTCTCGCTATAAGCAGTAGTATTCGTCCATATCTATAAGTTTGTGAGTGATCGACATGGATAGGACGATAACTTCAAACGGCAGCATTTTTAATCGTCTTCTACCCTTCATAATGAAGCCTCAGAATCAACAAAACAGCAGGAACGTTGAAGCCAAAAGGCATAGAACTTTGATAGACAAGTATAGCAACAAGACAGGAACGCGTACGTGGACTCACTGACATCAAAACTAACTGCAGAAAGTGGAGCGCATCAAATTACCGTAGGTCAACCCAGTGTTTTGGATTCAATATGTGAACAACACATTCGTTATCACCAGACGAAATGTAATGGGACAGGATTTACATTTCAGCTGGAGAAATACGAGAGGCGATCGTTCTTCGACGTATCAGTTCACAGGTTCATACCGGTGGAACAATTCAAGCGTGCATGTTCCGTAAGAAAACATATACACGTCAACAACCCTGTAACTCACAAGGAGCTGCACTCAAACAGCAGAAACATTGAGAAGCAACCTATTTTATCCAGTATTACAAAAGCGGATGCCCAAGAAGTCTCTTCAGAAGCTTGAAGAATAGGGTATCTGAGCAACAACAAACAATGACAACAACCGATAAGTAAACGAACATGAATGTACCTGAACTGATAGCAAGGACGTTGCGCTGCATGGAATTCCCGTGGCACACAAACGGAATGGCACCTTGGGAAGATTGGTTTAGAAACTAGACAGAGCACCAAACAAAGCTACCTACCAGACAAAGTGCAATGAAACCAACAAGCACTACATTGGACGGAACCGGAAGTGAACTGTCTGCATGGACCAATGAGTATGGGGCGAGTGTAAGAAGACATGATCCATGTTCTTTTATTCCCCGACACGATAATCAGGAAGGTTGCCATTTCAGTGTGGACGACGTGGAGGTTCTAAACTTTCAGGGTCGCAAGCACGCCATGGAATTTCCGGGAATGTGGTACTCCATGACGAACTCGACTAACCGACACTATCAACATCATCATTGTCAGCTGCAAGAACCGCGTAGTCGTCGTACAGTGGTTGTAGCTGCCGCAGTTTCGTTCACCGATGATTTGGGGGGAGGTAGGTAGCTGCGCATTGCAGGCGCGAGCTGGTAAATTGGTGCATAACTCCAGCACTGTCATTGGACTGTCAAGTGGGGGGGGTGGAAAAGGAGCTATGCATTGAAGGCAATAGCTTTGATGCACCGACACCTTAGGCAGAACCCAATTACACACCGGGCATCAAAAAACACGATGGACCGTGGGATAAGTCCGGTGAAAACCATAAGGTACGAATCAAAGGATTCATAATCAATGACCCATTGGAACTCGACCAAAAAGAACACGGGCGAACGATCTAATCACTAAGATAACTCGCCAGGTCATTCAATTATAGTGTCACCCCACCCCCCAACATTCGGAATCACGTACACAAACTCGTACAAGCCACAGCTGATTGCACAGCTCTGTTCCCTTTCACAAAGAACTTATGGCATCACCACGGTTGATGACGTAGTTGCGCGTTCACAACAGTGAGTTGTTAAGATTCGTCAGTAGTACTTCGGTAAAGCGCAGCCTATTCCACTGTGGGACACGGAAGGGTCTCTAAATGACCGTGCTATTGCAGTGGTTTTATTGAGTTTGCAGTACAACCGTGTCTTTACCCCGCCCTCTTGTTTCACACGTTTCGGAGCTGGGGAGCCTCTGAAGTAAGTAGTGAAGCCGTTCTTCGCCGGTAGTGGTGTCAAAGGTGATAATCACGAAGAGGTGGACCAAACGAACGACTGTGTGGTCTTGTTCGACACCTACTGATAGCCTCCGCAGTAAATATTTAGCGGCGCGTCCAGTCAGTATGTACGCGACCCGCGTTCGATCGTTGCTGATACAGTTCCTACACTAAGGTAGCAAGAGAAAGTCATGCTTTCCAGGTGTTTTTATAAAGAGCAGTTCCTGCCTAGAACGTCAAAGTACGCTTCACTTCACGAATTGGTCAGTTCTCATAGAGAAAAAACAGCTTGTACGCCGACTCGTCTCAAAGCATCAACGTAGCAATTTTTAAAAATCTAGAACTGAGGAACGCTATGCACACTGTTGAAACGGACTCATCATTTGCCTTCGATTTGTTCAGCTGTAGCACCTACTCGGTGCCCAGCTACCATGCCACCCGAAGGAAGCACGAATGCTGAGATACTGCCAGGTTGCCCAAGCCTAGATAGGGGAAGCAGAGGTTCGGGTTCGAACCACGGACCTTCCGGCCAGTAAATTCTTGCTCTAACCATTGAGCCATCTTGCCCCCTATACCTTCGAAGTTGAAATGAAGTCACTGAAATGATGGCCTATCCGACGTAAAAATCGCTCAGCTGTAACATCCTTTCGGCGCCTAGTTGCCACGCCAACAAAAGGAAGCACGAGGGCTGGGGTACTGCCAGGCTGCCCAAGCCTAGACAGGGGAAGTCGAGAGCAGAGGTCGGGTTCGTGCCCGAATGGTTAAGTGTTCAAACGATTGAATAGAGTAATTTTGTCCTCTTAGGTGTAGATTTCCGCGTGTCCAGCACCCGGCCAAAAGCTAAAGTCATAATATTCGATATAACCAGGACGATGAGTGAAACTAGCCCTGGTCCCTTCAGGAAGGATCAAAGATCATAGCGCATGTGAACAGTCGAGGATATTCTTCTTGGCATGAAAAATAAAATTTTTAAGGCACGAGCTTTTGAAAACAGCCTGTACATTGGAAGGGAGGGATGTATTAGTCTTCTCGTGTACATGATTTCTTGGGGGGTGGGGACTCGCCGGCCTCAGAAGCATCTTGTGCTTCCCCGATAGAAACAACTGACGGGTTGGAGAGGAGTTTCAATATGACGGCTGCCCCGTGGGCAGTTCGGCTGCGAGTCAGACCGTGTGTGAGAACGGCGCATGGTCCGCTCGTTAGAGCGTGGTGAGCCCATTCTTTCGGCTGCAGACCAAGCGACTGCAGTATAGAGACCACCGCGAGTGGGCGACGCACCTCCCAGCCCACTGTGGCTCCCGAGCTGATGACAATGCACTTGCTGAACGAAGATCGACAACCTGCAAACATGCTTGAAAAGTGAAAAGCTAGATTAGACCTCGCCGTTGTTCCACTGGAACCGGGACGAAGCAGGGGACCTAGTTTAAATTCCAGCCGAAGTCCTCGTGTCTGAATGAGGGAATATTGTTTACTGCTAAGGCGAAAATCACTCTGACTGTCAAGATCAATAGCGATGAGGTCGAAAGTGCCCGGTTGTTCATATGCGAAGACCAAAGCCTCCGAAGACGACGGGCACATGCTTACGATATCAAATCGGTTGAGGGTTTCACCGAATTCTCGAAAAAATAGGCCAGCTAATGAAGGTTCAGAACACACCAAGTTCAGGCGCTTGAATAGCCGGGGAGGACACAATACAGACGGAGGCCAAAGAGTGGCACGATACTGATGACTGTCTGTAAGCAAATTGTTCAGAGTCTCGGAAGATGGTGGTTTAAGTTGATCGGCAAGTTTGTTTCGCATTGACTGACGTTCTTCTTTTGTCTTCTTCCGGATTGTATTTGTGTCAGTAGTCAAGCTGAAGTTGAAATCATCGATCGTTACAGACTGAGTGAGAGCAATACATTGATAACCGGCGTCGAGGATACGTGCCAACAGTTGTGGAGTACAAGTCTTGAGCGGGACATCCAAATCGAAGATTTTGTGGTCCATCGATCCAAGGGGTCACAGAAATGCCTACAGTGAGATTTATTCAAAAACGGACATGAAACGTTCCAACCCAAAATCCGTACGAATTACAAGATGACAGGAAAATCGACCCAGGCACGCAATGACAATACCGAAGGCAAACCTATAATTGAACAAACCATCTATAGGGCTACCGCTAGCAGTGCGTGCGGATTTTACCGAGTGTGATGAAATAGTCTGTCCTACCTCACTGACTGGTCCGCGCATCTTAAACATTGGGTCACCTGTGGTCTAGTATTCCATCATTTAATTCAACAGGGTTGGAACTAACATCCGCTCGATGTCAAACTACAAGAGCAATGATTTTATCCAGTCCCATACATGTGAAACAGGTTGTTACCCTGGAAGCTAAGTTCATACATCGTAGGGTAGACTACTAGGATTCGGTCCGTGATCCCGGTAGAACTGCAACCTATCGCCGCCAACCCCCCCTGCCATATCTCGAATTGTAAACAATTACTCGAAGCAGATAACCGCAGATGCACTCCGTGCTACTGTGGAAAAGTTATTCCATAGTAGACGCAGGATTAGACCTACTCGACTTTGATTTCTTTCGCGATTATCTGAACGAAATGTCGCGTGCTTGTGCGATTTCGTTTTAACGGAGTTGGCATTCGGTATCGTTCTAACAACGAAGGGCGTTGGTCTCATCAACAACACCACTACATGAACACCGCACACCAGCGGGCCGTCTACCTCACAGGGCTCGTTTTCCCAGCTCTGTGCTGAGTGGAAGCGATCCAGAGGTGAACAGTGTATGATCTGGTAACCAAGTATGAGAACACTAACCAGTAAACTTGATCGGGTCGACATCTATCGCCTTTTTGAATGGAGACAGAGGGACTCAACTCACCAATGATTAATAACGCTAGCAGACATGGTTTAGTTACGCAGTCAGTGGCTGTCGTCAAAGCTATCCATCTATCGCCTTTTTGAATGGAGACAGAGGGACTCAACTCACCAATGATTAATAACGCTAGCAGACATGGTTTAGTTACGCAGTCAGTGGCTGTCGTGCATCAAAGCTATCGCCTTCAGTGCGTATCTGCTCAGTTTCCAGAACTAATTGATCATACCATCGCCTCCAACGTTTGGCTATATCTCCCGCAATCTTACATCAGCCGGTGACCGAAACCGCAGCAGCTGAAACTAACGTAACCGTGATACACGGTTTGCAGCTGATAAACTAGAATGTCAGTGATTTCTAGAGCAGATGTGTACTAAACAACCATATTTTACTGTCTGTCAGCAAGCAAGTTGTCCCCTGGTGAAATTAATCGTGTAGTCCTGAAAAGCACGATAATACGAAGCTTTGTTCAATGGCACATCGAACAATAAAAAGGATATGCACACAAGTAATAAGTATGTACTCAGAAAATACGGGAAAACAGTTGATTGAAAGAAATAAAATGGCTAGGTATCGGGCAGTGCGGAAGTACAAAGTTGGACGTGAAGACAATCGTCACATCTTTCTTATTTGTTTCTTGATCAAAGCCAGACGTTGCCGATGCGCTTCTACCACGGAATTCTGTCTGAGCGGACGATCTTCGGATAGGTTTCCAGGAATGGAAATGTCCCAGTCACGTTCTGAAACAACAAAACATATTAGCTAAATACACTCTTTTGCAAACCAATTTGGCTTTTTGCGAGGGACTCACCTGGAACTCAGCTGAATCTCTAGTTTGTGGTGTTTCCAAGGAAACATACCATACTGAGAGAATGATTACCACTCATCCAAAAAAGGGAACTTCTAAGAGATAGTATCTAGGAGGTCTTCGTTGCAGCAACAGAACCGATCCAATGCATACGTTGGTATGCCCCTGACTGCCGCTAACGACTGCTTACACCTGCAGTCCTTACTGCCTAGTCTCCTTGTGGGAGCCCGAGGTTGAAAAAGTGGAGGAATGGAACCGAAACCGTGGCCTTCTGCCCAACGGACAAGAAGTACTTTATCGGCTGAATCATTGCGGATGCCGTAACACTTGTGTGCTTGGGTGTTACACATTAGCCATGCATCTATGTATTCAGTGGACAGACAGCAGACTCCACGGTGAGCCAAACACTGAGATTTTTTGGAGGGCCGTGCGGCATGATGACTAAATTGGTAGATAAGTGAGGGCACATCCGAACACACACAATACGAGCGAGATAAAAAGCTTATATTCACGCCACCTTACACACGAGACCACACCTGTTTGAGATGGCTGTGGTTAGGGTGCGAAGGCCCGTCGTTCGAACCCGACCTCTGTCTCTCGAATTGCCTTGTCTAGGCTTGGGCAACCTGGCAGTACCCCAGCCCTTGTGCTTCCTTCCGGTGGCATGGCAGCTTGACACCGAAAGGGTGTTACAGCTGAACAATTATTATTTATTAGTTAGTGAGCATATTGTGATGCCCGCATAATGTCCACGTAGACTTACGCGAGATGGCCCAAGTGGTTAGAGCGCGAATTTACTGACTATAAGATCCGTGGTTCGAACCCTACCTACGCCTCTCGACTTCCCCTGTCTAGGCTTGGGCAACCTAGCAGTATCCTAGCCTCCGTGCAACCTTCGGGTGGCAAGGCAGTTAGGCACCGAAAGGGTGCTACAGCTGAAGGATTCTATTTTTTAGACTTGCAATACAGTATACTCAATGCCTAAAGGGACTCTGCTCTCGTAACCAATCCTTTCATCAAAATACTGGTCGACTAAGATCACTTGAATTGAATTTTGTTCAGTTTCGAGTAGGCACAAGAACTGGCGGCCTCATAGAACTAACTTCGACTCAAATTCAGAAGTTCAGAGATCCCAAATCTTCCAGTTAGTTACATAGTGTCGATAAATGTACATACGAAAAATGTGCGAAACATACCCAGACAAAAATGTATATCCTTCGCGTCAACATTCGACGACCCGCGGTGTGAAGCCAGCTTCTGCGCTTTCGATGCCACCGAAACGATGAACTCGTTTGCCAAATTGACCAGGACCTGAGACGTAAGAACCCGATGGTACTCATAATAATACAGATATACAGTAATGGAAACTAAACTTTCCACCTTCATAGCTCTAGACACAATCATTTTTTGGCTGAAGTAAGGCGACGGGGAACGAATGTAGGCTTTTCGTATTACTTGCATTTCTAGTAACTGGTAGACCACACTATAAATCTGGTCCACCGGAACTATCTGCAGACAAAAGTGAGAATTACTTTCACGCTACTGAGCCTGAGAATCACTGCTCATATCTGGAAAAGTCCAGCCAAGCAAATCAAATCAGACGGGTGTAGAAGACTCAGTCAGGTATAGTTTTGACAAATCGTTTCAATCGACCACCCCAACCACTTAAACTGGTTGGCGCAGTCAGCGAAGTCGAACTAGACTTTGTACTTGGTTTTAACCGGCTGCTGACTGGAAGTGATTTTCTGGATGAGCCCATGCGAGGAAGTTTAACTACCTACCAAGGATAAAATTCTCAACCGTTCAGAATCCTCGTAGATCTGATAAGCACCAGTAAAAAGACTGGAATTTGGTGATATTAATTATAGAATGGGATGTGGTGGTTAGTTTTGAAAACCAATCCATGACGGGTTTCATCGCGACCCAAATACATCAGATGGATAGAAGGGTTGACCGCGTGACCCTTTGGTTTAGTCTTTCACCGAAGACCGCAGCGCCACGTAGCCATTTGTTTCACTCACCAATTGCATGAATTGAGTTGATTTCTTGGTTCATGCGAAAAACGTGTAAAAGTTTGAATAATTGGGACTAGAGAGTAGGGGACATCTGGCGCTAAATGATACTGTGTGCAACAGGTATGAATGGAGGAGAATCTGGCCACTTGCGTACTTTGCTTACCATTAGACCGCAGCGGAAAACTCGCCTGCGATCAAGACCAATCAACTGATGAACCGAATGTGCGATTTTTAGAGCCTACATTTTCTAACCTACACCTTCTGAAGAGAAAACAGTACCGCTGTTCCCGTCAATACGGGAGCTGTTAGTCATCGGTATGAAACGTACTACTGCTCTTATCGCAGAAGGTAATAAGATTTTGTCATGAGATTGCGCCCTGGAACGATTATTCAAGCGATATCCACTCACCATTCTTTATCTGTCTGTATTCCATGCACATACCTCAAGAATTTTTACACAAAGCAGTCAGGCATCTGTTGTAACCTCCAGGAACATTGCAGTGGACAAGCAAAAATATTGTCAAGACAGCAGCTGCTCCTCAGGAAGTTCTAAGGGGTGATTTGAATTCTTTTAGGCCATGCCGCTAATCTTAAGTTTACGAAGGCGACTCGACCATCTCATGACTTCCTATCCACTGCGAGAATACCTGATAGCCCAAATTGTACAGTAGCACGTTAGACGAAAGCTGCGCAATACTGTGAGCCAGCCTACCGATACTTAGAGATGCCTAGGGTTGAACGTGGCGTCATAGCGAAAACGCATCACCAGAAGTCATATCTATACCTGTTATTTCTAGCATAGGAGGGGCATTACGGATCTATCCTTGAACCAACGTTAGCTTACTTCATATGCTTCTGAGTCAAGTTGGAGTTGCGGATCGAGGTCAGAGATTAATTGGGTTAGTGATGCAGGTGTGAAAACTGCAGTGCCAGATGCAGCAACTTCATCCTTTGTCGATTGTGTCGGCAGAGTAGGTTCAGTAGAATTAGAAAGGGTGATTGTTTTGCAATCATTGGTGTTCGACTGTGGCAAAGAAAGTACCATAGTGCTAGGTTGCGTAGCCACTGTAGACGCAACCGTTTGTTGTGCAATAGTTGATGGAGCTCTATTTACTGGACTTAGATAAACTACGGAAGATTCGCCAATACCACTGTGACTCGTCACTGGCAGTTGGTTGGTCGGACTGGGTGAGGAAACAGGAGCTATAGAGGTCGATACGGAGCTGACGGCAACACAGTCAGAATTCAGATCAGACAGAAACGACTGGGAGACTGGCTGTTGTTGTTGTTGTTGTTGTTGTTGTTGTTGTTGTTGTTGTTGTTGTTGTTGTTGTTGTTGTTGTTGTTGTTGTTGTTGTTGTTGTTGTTGTTGTTGTTGTTGTTGTTGTTGTTGTTGTTGTTGTTGTTGTTGTTGTTGTTGTTGTTGTTGTTGTTGTTGTTGTTGTTGTTGTTGTTGTTGTTGTTGTTGTTGTTGTTGTTGTTGTTGTTGTTGTTGTTGTTGTTGTTGTTGTTGTTGTTGTTGTTGTTGTTGTTGTTGTTGTTGTTGTTGTTGTTGTTGTTGTTGTTGTTGTTGTTGTTGTTGTTGTTGTTGTTGTTGTTGTTGTTGTTGTTGTTGTTGTTGTTGTTGTTGTTGTTGTTGTTGTTGTTGTTGTTGTTGTTGTTGTTGTTGTTGTTGTTGTTGTTGTTGTTGTTGTTGTTGTTGTTGTTGTTGTTGTTGTTGTTGTTGTTGTTGTTGTTGTTGTTGTTGTTGTTGTTGTTGTTGTTGTTGTTGTTGTTGTTGTTGTTGTTGTTGTTGTTGTTGTTGTTGTTGTTGTTGTTGTTGTTGTTGTTGTTGTTGTTGTTGTTGTTGTTGTTGTTGTTGTTGTTGTTGTTGTTGTTGTTGTTGTTGTTGTTGTTGTTGTTGTTGTTGTTGTTGTTGTTGTTGTTGTTGTTGTTGTTGTTGTTGTTGTTGTTGTTGTTGTTGTTGTTGTTGTTGTTGTTGTTGTTGTTGTTGTTGTTGTTGTTGTTGTTGTTGTTGTTGTTGTTGTTGTTGTTGTTGTTGTTGTTGTTGTTGTTGTTGTTGTTGTTGTTGTTGTTGTTGTTGTTGTTGTTGTTGTTGTTGAACAATTGGTGGTTGGACGACAGGTGACGGTTGCACGGTAGGCACGGTAGTCATAGCAACAAACTTGGGCTGGGATGAGTTGGGGGGTTGGAGATTAATCCCACTCTGATCTAACACGACTTGACCACTTGGAATTACGGTTTGATACCCAGGTGTTGGGAAAGAATAGTTTGTTTGAACTGGCTCGATGAATTGAGAACCTTGTACAGATGGGTCAGAACTGGTCTGCCCGTGTGCAGTGGAAACGTAAGAAGGAGCTCCGGTGCCCAGTGGGTGGTTCATTGATGAGGTTGGAAGTAATGAGTTTGGTAATGCAACTGATATGGGTCCGTTAGGTCCCTGAATCACCGTGGATGTCAAGTGATGAGTTGTCATGGGAACTGCGATTGGTTGCTGTGTTGAACCGGAGAGAATCATTGGATTTCCCACTGGAGGAGCCTGCAGTGGTGGTTTTGACATAGGCGAAGAGACCGGGAGAGGCATCGGTGGAGTGCTGGCTGTGGTAACCAAGTTTGTCATCAGAACTGTCTGTCCAGAAGGTAGAGTAACCATTCCGGGATGACCACGAGGAGCAGCACCTAAACCAGACATGTTAATCGTACCTCCTGGTGCAGGCGCCCAAACGTGTAGTCCTTGATGGGACATGGGAGCGGGGACCCCCGGTTGCAAATTGGTTATGGTTCCCGGTTGAACTGACATAGCCTGACCTGGCTGTATCAGAAGTGATCCAGACGGAACAACAGTGGGATTGGTCTGTGCTTTCATCTGTCCGCACGCTGTAAAGGGAATAAGAGTGCCGATAAAAGTTTGCCTAATACGTCTATGCACTTGGCAACTAACTGTGACGTTGACAGCTGAGTCGAATTTGTGGAACCCCACGAAATGACTGCTGACATAGGAACGACGAGTGCCAAGAAAGCAGTTAGAAAATTTTTAAGGGATCCTTTCAGTGTCTGGTGCGCTCGTTTAATAGGGATTTCATCGTGTAAGTGAAAAGCCTAAAAGCACTGTGCACTTTTTTCATGCTTATTAAGAACCATCGACTATGTGGACCTGATGAAACTCCAGAGTCTCGAACCCGTGACCCAAAAATCCCAGCCATAAATGAGTAATGATCCTCTCAAACCTACAATACTCAAACGCACGAGCGTTTCAGACAGTAAGCGCGTACGCAAGCTGCTAAATGACATGGCTATAACCCTTCGAAACTATTGCGCGCGAAGTTTATCGGCGCAAAGTCCAATGAGGTAGTACTGCGGGTTGGCATGGCAGTTAGGCACTGAGAGGGTGCTACAGCCGAAAAACTCCGCAAAATGTGGCTGGGCCGCTTGTCGCACCCCATGCCGTCCATGTTGAATCTAAGTAGCCAATTAGACTTATCCAAAACTGCGACTAAGCAGAAACCCACGTCCTCGCTGGCTTCCGTCACTATCTCTCGCTCTCGAATAAAAGGACTGGAAACTGAAGTCTGGCGTCTTCGTCAACAACTTGCTGGCGCGTCGCTCCACCCGAAATATGGATCCCGTAAAAGCCCGTGTGGACGTTCACCACCTCCGTCTTGCAGGCTCTGTTAGTACCATGTATGTCACGGTCGGCACGCACAAAAATGCATAGCAGCACTGATGCATACGCAGCACGTGACCAAGGCAGCGCAACCTATGCAGTGTGATCAGTTCATCTATCGAGGGTGAGTTATTTCTCCCGAATACCATTCGACGTGCTTCAGAATTGCTGATCCGGTGTTCCCACCAGATTCGGGCAATGCTCCGAAGACATCGATGGTCAAACACTGAAAGTTTTTTGACGTCCTCGGAGCGCAGCGGCCAGGTCTCTGATCCATATAGTAATATGGAGCGCACCGCAGCATTGTAAACTCGACCCGACAGAGAAAGGTACATGTGGCCGTTCAACAGTTTCCAGCCTCACATGACCCTTTCGGAATATGCCTACACGCCAATGGCACCCTCTATCCTTAGTCCAGGTCGTCTCATATCGTTTACTTGTAATACCCTCCGGTGTATAGCTGCCACGCCACCCAAAGGAAGAACGAGCGCCGTCATCATCATCATCATTGTCAGCTGTAAGAACCGCGTGCTCGTCGTACAGTGGTTGTAGCTGCCGCAGTTTCGTTCACCGATGATTTGAGGGGGTAGGTAGCTGCGCATTGCACGCGCGAGCTGGTAAGTTGGTGCATAAGTCCAGCACTGTCAGTGGGCTGTCAAGTGGTGAGGGGGGGGGGAAAAGGAGCTATGCATT